TTCTATTATTCAACTTGAACAAGTCATACAAATTTGTTCACCTTGAGAATAAAAGAAAATGAATTTGAGAAAAGTAATGGGTAGTTATTATTTCATGTTTGGTAAGATAGCTCATATATATAAACACACACACACACACACACACACACACACACACACACACACACACACACACACACACACACACACACACACACACACACACACACACACACACACACACACACACACACACACACACACACACACACACACACACACACACACACACACACACACACACACACACACACACACACACACACACACACACACACACACACACACACACACACACACACACACACACACACACACACACACACACACACACACACACACACACACACACACACACACACACACACACACACACACACACACACACACACACACACACACACACACACACACACACACACACACACACACACACACACACACACACACACACACACACACACACACACACACACACACACACACACACACACACACACACACACACACACACACACACACACACACACACACACACACACACACACACACACACACACACACACACACACACACACACACACACACACACACATAGAGTAACACTGAATCGCTAAACCAATTGGTAAGATAATATAGCGCTAACCAATCGTTTGGAACAACGCCACAATGTAAACTCATGATTTGAATTGTTCATTTTTAGAACTTCATATAAGGATTATGCTTGATTTTCAGACGGATTAGGGTGTTTGACGCACTCTTATTAGTGGTGCGACAAAAGGAAAACTCAAGTTTTAATTATATATCAAGACATTGGATAAACGAAAATATTTGACTATAAAACCTCTATATTTTATTGAGAACCTACATAATTTGTGTTATTTTATAAATTGTGAAGCCTCATTTTACTCAAAACTCATATTTTTATCCTTTTTTTTTTAATGAAAGAATACTTTCATTAGATAAACTTCAATAATACAAACTGAGTCCAAAAGGGCACTGAAACGAACATACTAAAAAAACGAAACTAAAACAGACAAACTTCGCACCAACAACTACTATAGCCCACATAACCACCATTTGCAGGATATTATATTTATAAGTAGAAATATATCTTATTTAAGTGATTCATAAAATAATATAATTTATAATATATGATATAGTGTTTCCCATAACCCCTAAGAACAAAAAATCACAATATTTAAATATGACCTAGAAGCATTTATTTGTTACCTTGGCTTTTGTAACCAAATTGAAGACAAATATGGAAGTGATTTCATCCATTAAAACATATGTGTAACACTTATCAATAAATTTAGGAGATGAGGTGGGGGAGTGAGGAACGTTGTAAACAAGATATTTAGTAAAAAGAGAATAAGTATATAGAATTTAAGGCATCCGTATCAAAACTTTGATTTCAATTATTCTCAAGTATTTTTCAATATCAAATCAATTACATAATTAATTCAAAGACTAATTATTCTTTTGAAGAAGGAGAAGTTCCAGGAGATAGAAATTGTGAGAACTCAAAACATTGATTCCAAATTTCTGCACTCTTGGTCAAGGCTTCCGACTTGTTTAATTTGGAAAGAGGGCCCGAAAGGGCTTTGCTCACTAATGCAAAATGGCATGATTGACCAATTGATACAAGCTCCATGCAACAACTGTCACTAATGGACCATTCCTTAATTATTGTAACGACTATTTCTTTTCCACACCCGGCATGAAGCCTTGATTTGCATTCCTCTAAGAACTTAAAATTTGATGGGGAGGGTGCTAGTGTTGCAAGTCCTGGCAAAATCATCATTGTTGCAATCACGAAAATCAAGATTGCAGAAGTTTGATAACCAGTGCACCTTGCCATTTTTTTAAAACTTTTTAAAAATATACTTTGATGCCAACAAAGCTATAGAATGGTGGAGAATCTATAACAAGTTTATCTTTTTATAAGTCTAGTGTTATTGATGATGTGAAACGCATTTACAGTGAAGAATATATTTGGTAGTTTGATAGTATAACTCCAAACTAAATGGTGGATTAATTCAATGAGAATATATTTGGTAGTTTGGTAGTATAACTCCAAACTAAACGGTAGATTAATTCAATCTCATTCATTTTAGATTTTAAAGGTTTGCACATGCGTTTTATGAGTTTATTAATTAATTAATTTAGATTTTTTCAAAAAAAGTTAAAAAAACTATCGTTATCGGTTCTTGTGCGACTGAAGAATAACTCAAGCTTGAACTATATATAAAGCTATTAGTTAAATGAAAATATTTAATTGGAAAGCATCTGCATTTGACTAAAAACCTTTGGAAATTTTGTTACTTTGTAAATTGTGAAGTCTCATTTTACACAAAAACTTATATTTATTGTTTTCTGGTACATAAGCTAATCGCAATTGAGTCCTAGTTCTATTATTCAACTTGAACAAGTCATACAAATTTGTTCACCCTGAGAATAAAAGAAAATAAATTTGAGAAAAGTAATGGGTAGTTATTATTTCATGTTTACGTAAGATAGCTCATATATATAGACACACACACACACGCACATACACACACATGTGCACACACATAGAGTAGCACCGAATCGCTAAACCAATTGGTAAGATAATATGACGCTAACCAATAGTTTGGAATTCAAGATTTCAGATGTTGTTGTTTCGAATATTCTATGTGAAATATTTTGTTTATTTAAATGTTTCTTCACATTTTAGTTATAGTTTCTATTAAATTCTTTAATTAAGGTGTGAATCACGTCTTAATCCAAGGTTACGTAAAACCGTGGGTTGGGGCGTGACATGCGACAAAAGGAAAATTCAAGTTTTAATTATATATCAAGACGTTGGATAAACGAAAATATTTGACTATAAAACCTCTATATTTTATTGAGAACCTACAGAATTTGTATTATTTTATAAATTGTGAAGCCTCATTTTACTCAAAACTCATATTTTTATCCTTTTTAAAAATTAAAAAATAAATCAAAGAATACTTTCATTAGATAAACTTCAATAATACAAACAAAGTCCAAAAGGGCACTGAAACGAACACACTAAAAAAGAAAAACTAAAACAGACAAACTTCACACCAACAACTGCTATAGCCCACATAACCACCATTTGCAGGATATTATATTTATAAGTAAAAATATATCTTATTTAAGTGATTCATAAAATAATATAATTTATAATATATGATATAGTGTTTCCCATAACCCCTAAGAACTAAAAATCACAATATTTAAATATGAGCTAGAAGCATTTATTTGTTGGAGAGCCTTGGCTTTTGTAACCAAATTGAAGACAAATATGGAAGTGATTTCATCCATTAAAACATATGTGTAACACTTATCAATAAATTTAGGAGATGAGGTGGGGGAGTGAGGAACGTTGTAAACAAGATATTTAGTAAAAAGAGAATAAGTATATAGAATTTAAGGCATCCGTATCAAAACTTTGATTTCAATTATTCTCAAGTATTTTTCAATATCAAATCAATTACATAATTAATTCAAAGACTAATTATTCTTTTGAAGAAGGAGAAGTTGCAGGAGATAGAAATTGTGAGAACTCAAAACATTGATTCCAAATTTCTGCACTCTTGGTCAAAGCTTCCGACTTGTTTAATTTGGAAAGAGGGCCCAAAAGAGCTTTGTTCACTAATGCAAAATGGCATGATTGACCCATTGATACAAGCTCCAAGCAACAACTATCACTAATAGACCATTTCTTAATTATTGTAACCACTATTTCTTTTCCACACCCGGCATGAAGCCTTGATTTGCATTCCTCTAAGAACTTAAAATTTGATGGGGAGGGTGCTAAGGTTGCAAGTCCTGGCAAAATCATCATTGTTGCAATCACGAAAATCAAGATTGTAGAAGTTTGATAACTAGTGAAACTTGCCATTTTTTTTTTTTTGCTTTTTAAAAATATACTTTGTTGGCAGTGAATCTATAGAATGGTGGAGAATCTACAACAAGTTTGTCTTTTTATAAGTCTAGTGTTGTTGATGATATGAAACGCATTTACAGTGGAGAATATATTTGGTAGTTTGGTAGTATAACTCCAAACTAAACGGTAGATTAATTCAAGCTCATTCATTTTAGATTTTAATGGTTTGCACATACGTTTTATGAGTTTATTAATTAATTCATTTAGATTTAAAAAATAAGTTAATAACCCATCTTTTCTATCCTTGGGCAACTAAAGAAAAACTCAAGGTTGAATTATATATGAAGCTATTGGATAAATGAAAATACTTAATTGAAAAACATCTATATTTGACTGAAACCTTTGAAAGTTTTGTTACTTTATAAATTGTGAAGTCTCATTTTACACAAAAACTTATATTTATTGTTTTATGGTATATAAGCTAATTGCAATTGAGTGCTAGTTCTATTATTCAACAGGAACATGTTATAAAAATTTGTTCACCCTGAGAATAAAAGAAAAGGAATTTGAGAAATGTAATGGTTAATTATTGTTTCATGTTTACATAAGATAGCTTATATATATAGACATACACACACGCACACATAGAGTAGCACTGAATCGCTAAACCAATTGGTAAGATAATATAGCGCTAACCAATCGTTCGGAACAACGCCACAATGTAAACTCATGATTTGAATTATTCATTTTTATAACCTCATACAAGGATTATGCTTGATTTTCAAACGGATCAGGGTGGCTGACGCACTATGATTAGTGGTGCGACAAAAGGAAAACTCAAGTTTTAATTATATATTAAGACGTTGGATAAACAAAAATATTTGATTGTAAAACCTCTATATTTTTATTGAGAACCTACACAGTTTGTGTTACTTTTTAAATTGTGAAGCCTCATTTTACTCCAAACTCATATTTTGATCGTTTATTTTTAATCAAAGAAGACTTTCATTAGATAAACTTCAACAATACAAACTAGGCCCAAAAGGGCCCTGAAACGAACATACTAAAAAAGCAAAACTAAAGTGACAAACTTCGCACCAACAACTACTATAGTCCACATCACCACCATTTGCAGGATATTATATTTATATGTAGAAATGTATCTTGTTAAAGTGATTCATAAAATAATATAATTCATAATTTATGATATAGTGTTTCCTATAACCTCTAAGAACTAAAAATCACAATATTTAAATATGATCTATAAATTATCTTATTTAAGTGATTCATAAAATAATATAATTTATAATATATGATATAGTGTTTCCCATAACCCCTAAGAACAAAAAATCACAATATTTAAATATGACCTAGAAGCATTTATTTGTTGGAGAGCCTTGGCTTTTGTAACCAAATTGAAGAAAAATATGCAAGTGATTTCATCCATTAAAACATATGTGTAACACTTATCAATAAATTTAGGAGATGAGGTGGGGGAGTGAGGAACGTTGTAAACAAGATATTTAGTAAAAAGAGAATAAGTATATAGAATTTAAGGCATCCGTATCAAAACTTTGATTTCAATTATTCTCAAGTATTTTTCAATATCAAATCAATTACATAGTTAATTCAAAGCCAAATTACTCTTCTGAAGAAGGAGAAGTTACAGGAGACAGAAATTGTGAGAACTTAAAACATTGATTCCAAATTTCTGCACTTTTGGTCAAAGCATTCGACTTGTTTAATTTGGAAAGAGGGCCCGAAAGAGCTTTGTTCACTAATGCAAAATGGCATGATTGACCAATTGATACAAGCTCCATGCAACAACTGTCACTAATAGACCATTCCTTAATTATTGTAACGACTATTTCTTTTCCACACCCGGCTTGAAGCCTTGATTTGCATTCCTCTAAGAACTTAAAATTTGATGGTGAGGGTGCTAGGGTTGCAAGTCCTGGAAAAATCATCATTGTTGCAATCACGAAAATCAAGATTGCAGAAGTTTGATAACCAGTGCACCTTGCCATTTTTTTTTAAAACTTTTTAAAAATATACTTTGATGCCAACAAAGCTATAGAATGGTGGAGAATCTATAACAAGTTTGTCTTTTTATAAGTCTAGTGTTATTGATGATGTGAAACGCATTTACAGTGAAGAATATATTTGGTAGTGTATGTCCAAACTAAACGGTAGATTAATTCAATCTCATTCATTTTAGATTTTAATGGTTTGCACATGCGTTTTATGAGTTTATTAATTAATTAATTTAGATTTTTTCAAAAAAAGTTAAAAAAACTATCGTTATCGGTTCTTGTGCGACTGAAGAATAACTCAAGCTTGAACTATATATAAAGCTATTAGTTAAATGAAAATATTTAATTGGAAAGCATCTGCATTTGACTAAAAACCTTTGGAAATTTTGTTACTTTGTAAATTCTGAAGTCTCATTTTACACAAAAACTTATATTTATTGTTTTCTGGTACATAAGCTATATTGAAACAAAAATGTAAATAAAATTTTATAAATCAAACAAAGTCACATTACAAGCAAATATAACATTAAAAAGTACAAAATATAAATAAATATCACATCAAACACATTGTCCAACTTCAATACGACTTCAGTACGATTTCCTCTCAAGGTTCAAATATGGCGTTTTGGGTGGCTAGAAGAATTTTTTTGATGTTTGCTCTCTGTGGGTGTAGCCTAATATTAGTACGATAAGAATAGATCAAGTTGGTATAGCCTTCGCGTGAGTTTTGCTTCTAATCAAATTTATATAGGTTTGGATTGATGTTTATTATTTCCTATATGCTTCAGGAGTGGGTTTATTTTAAATAAAGCTATTATTTACTTTACTTAAATTGGGCTATTATTAGTTTATGGCTTATTTATGTACATGCCCTCTGTGCTTTCAAAGTTGTCTCATATTACCACATGTTCTTTGAAACGTCTCAAAATACCA